TCTCGTGGGGGAAAAGGGACAATTCTGACCTCCAGGTTTCCCTCTGATGATCCTCGCTTGCCTTGCCCCGAGCTCACTTCCCTCAGTGTTTCAGCAAGTGACTGCATCCATTTGCAAACATATCTTCAAATGTTAATTAAAAAAAAAAAAAAAAAAAAAAAAAAAAAAAAAAAAAAAAAAAAAAAAAAAAACCACCCTCCAGTGGAACAATCACAACTGGGCAATGCCAATCTGTGGAACTGGTGGTACATTTTCCGAGTCCGTGGGAAATCCGTCCCAACCCTAATCTGGGGCCAAAGGAAAGGAAACCAAGTGCTCTGACAGACTGATTGTTGGCAGCTCATTGTGACCCTGAACCCTCAGACAATATGGAAGACAAAAAAAAATGAAAACATATCACCAGATTCACCACTGCTTTAATCTTCCACATAATTTGCCTTGACATTTTTTGCGCCAGTAGTTGGATGTAGGGAGTCTAGGGACTGGAGCGGTGCAAACAACTGCCCTCTCCGGTGCACCCATGAGACCAGGAATCACTCGGGTCCACTCATGAGAAGAATCAAAGCCGCTGTCTCACGGACTCTCACCTACTCGTTTAAGAAATTACAAGTGGACCTGCCGCAGCTACACTGCGGGGAAGGACGATGACAAAACATTTTGCGAAACACCCCAGCCATCAGTAGGATCCCATCTTTGAAAAGTGTATATTTCCATGTTGTAGCGGTATATTCATTCGGTTTTGCTGATCCTGTGGATGGAAGTACCATGAGGTGAGCCGCACGGTTGGAGGCTTACCTCCTCTCTCTCTCTCTCTCTCATACACACACACACACACACACACCTGTCTCTTATACACATCTAGATGTGTATAAGAGACAGCACGCACACACACACACACACAAAAAAAAATAAAAAATAAAAAACAAGTGTGGCATTGTATATTCCCACGATGTAGCGGTATATTCATTCGGTTTTGCTGATCCTGTGGATGGAAGTACCCTGAGGTGAGCCGCACGGTTGGAGGCTTAACTCCTCTCTCTCTCTCTCTCTCATACACACGCGCCTGTCTCTTATACACATCTAGATGTGTATAAGAGACAGGTCTTCTGCTGGTTCTGCCAGATCATTGGTACAAGGGTTAAATGGAGAGACACACATATATCCAAGGGGGCTGCTGAGATAGGGCTGGGTTACTAGATGAGAGGTGCTCCTAAGAAGGGATGGGTGACACTAGCAGCCCCATGGGATTTTTTAGCCCCAAGCTGAGTCTGAATTGACCAC